AAAAAAAAAAAAAAAAAAAAAAGTTACGGCCGTGAAAACTCACATAACAAGAAAATGAAACAAAGCTCTGGGCGTGATTGCAGTTGTATACATTCTCGGAAGTGTTAGTGTGAGTGTGCCCTCAGTGAGGGCATCTCAACCCCATGGCTAGGTTGTCAGATTCCAGAAACTCAAAAAAAAAAAAAAGACAGGGACACGGATTCGGCCGTGAAAATGGCAAGATACATTCCCGTAAGTGTCAGTGTGATCAGGGTTACAATCCTCTGAGGGAACACAGCTCGAGAAGATCACGGATTCAGATTGTCAGATTCCAGAAGAAAAAAAATAAGAGAAAAAAAACAAAAACACGGATTCAGCCTTGAAAACGGCTGGATACATCAGGGTTACAATCATCTGAGAAAACACAGCTAGAGCAGATCACGGATTCCGCCCTGCTTCGTTGGCAGGGGACACATAACAAACAAAAGAGAAATAAAAAAAAGAAAATAACAAGTTTCAGAATGTGACCATCTTTGTTGTAAGATGCATTCAAGACTGTGAGCACGGCTTCCTAGACTACCTTGCCCGACATCATTGCAGTGCAAAGACCCTTTTTTTTTTTCCTTTTCCTTTCGTGCACGGGCAAAAAAAAACTACGATTTTTGGGACATTGCCGACCTTGTGTCTGACCCCCAAAAACTTCGGGTACTGGCCATGACAACGTAATTTCCCAACACTGGCGGAAGTACTGGTGGTTTAAAAGACTAAGTGCAGATAATTTATAAAGCTTGGATACATTAACAGTTCAGGGCGACTAGGGTGGCCTAGTCACGTGCCCAAGGAAGAGAAAAATTGTCGTGCCCTGTGTTTGTGTATATTCAATGGCTGAGTTGGACATGTTCCATAAGTTTAGGTGGTCTAGCTTTATGCCTTATGTAAGTTGGGTATAAAAGGATAAATCATTGAAAGACTACGAACTATTGTTTGCCCAAGTTGAATTTGGGACTGGTGAGAGTACTTACCTTTGTGGTTTGGTCTGCATGTGGCTGAGTGAAATTACTAATTAGTCTGAATTTCAGTTGACAGGTAGTTGCTTTAGATGCTCGCCACGTGCTAGAGCCATAGGAGTTAGTTTTAATTCTTGCATTTTATGAGTTTCAATTCCTGCATTTTATGAGCTAAGTTTGTTTGCTTAGGTCAATTTCTTTATTTTCTGGGATCTTTTATTATACTTGGTCTTGTATAAATCTTGGTAAGCCACTTTCTCTACGGGAAGCGCTGCCGAAATTTCTATAAAACCAAGGAGTTAGTCAGATTTTGTCTTTTCAAAGTTCAACTTATATGAATTTTATATATGACTAAGTAAAAATTTGGAGAGTCTCCTTTTCTAAAGGGAGTGTTGCCCGAATTTTTGCTAATTCAGGGAGTTAGACAAAATTGGACCTTGAGAAGTCAAAGTCACTTTAGATTCTGAACTTAGCTTTGTATAAATCTTGGATTAACACTTTTATAAAGGGAGTGTTGCCGAAATTTTTACAAATCTAAGGAGTTAGTTAAATTCTGTCTTAGTTGAACTCGAGTTTTTTTCTCGGTTTGTATCCGACTTAGTAAAAATATGGAAAAGTCTCATTTTCCAAAGGGAGTGCTGCCCAAATTTTTACTAATTCAAGGAGTTAGACAAAATTTAACTTTCCAGAATTAGTGATTGTTTTTGTTTTCATATCTAAGTTAGTATAAATTTTAGTATAAATTCTGAGGAAACACTTTTCCTACAGGAAGCGCTAACAAAATTTTCTTA